GGCGAACCAATAAAAGAGGCTTGGCCCCTTCTTAGTGCGTAAGCACAAACATCGACCGAAGTCGCGCATGTCAATACGTGTAAACGCCATACAGAATACGAACGAATCCAGCCACAGTGAATGTACGTCACACGGTTTAGGCAAATAGGCACACTGGCCGTAAACCCTCCGTGAGCGCCACCACCTGCCAGACCGCCGCTCCTGCAGACGTGATGTAAGTGTATGGCATCACCACCAATTGCATGATCAGCACGGCTACTAGCCGCAGAGCGTGTCATGAGTCTACTGCTCACCTCAAGGGAATGGGGTCGTACGTTGTGCGGCTTTCGGCCGCAGCCTTGAGAGTCTCCTCAGATCCTCCCGCCAGCTACCACCCGCATGAGGTCGACACATATGCTCCACCAACCAATACAACGGCAGATATAGCCAAAAGGCAGTTATAAGATAAGAGTAATAATTCGCCATCAGAAAGGGTTTGTGTCACTGACGTTGAGTAAATGCATTTTCGATCATGTTTGTCTCACCCACCAACAAGTTGCCTTCAATCATTCAAAGGTGGGAAAGTTACAGAGATATAATATTATGTTGTTATATAAAACATCGTGGAGGGCAGACAGTCTGCAGCTCCGCAATGAAGGGACCCGACTTGGGCAAAGCTACTTAGGTGTGAGTCAAACCAAGACGCAGAGAGCGCCACCCACCAAACAACCATCGCAGAGACGCAATGCTGCAGAACGCAACAAGCATCAATACGACTATCGTCGGGCTTACACCATCCCAAGGTCCCCCATACACCCCAGCAGACATCACCACCCGTATACCTCCATCGACCAGAACCACAAGAGAGCGTCGAATCAGGCGCAGCACACCCGCAGATCCATCACAAGACGCAATACCGCAAGTAGCAGTAAGCATCAATGCAACTATCATACGGATGGCGCCCCCTCACAACACACCCAACATGATCCCTATCGACTTTGGTAACAAAGTTTTTATTGTTGTTATATAAAAAATATCACCAACGTATCATAGTAGCACGCTACTAAGACGCCAATGAACAAAACTCCACGTATCATAGCGTTAATGCATTAAGACATGAAGTTGAGTATGCCTGCTACACTTAAAAGTGCTACCAAACACACTCATCATCCCAATCCGAAAGATAGACGACACATCGCTATGCGCAACGACGTCGCTCACAAACGGTATGGGTGTGCGATGTCCACGGGAAAGCCGTATTGCTACAACAAATCCGCTTACCACCAGCACTAAGATGTTAATTGTATACCTCCATCGACCAGAACCACAAGAATGCGTCGAATCAGGCGCAGCACACCCGCAGATCCATCACAAGACGCAATACCGCAAGTAACAGTAAGCATCAATGCAACTATCATACGGGTGGCGCCCCCTCACAACACACCCACATGATCCCTATCGACTTTGGTAACAAAGTTGGTATTGTTGTTATATAAAAAATATCACCAACGTATCATAGTAGCACGCTACTAAGACGCCAATGAACAAAACTCCACGTATCATAGCGCTAATGCACTAAGACATGAAGTTGAGTATGCCTGCTACACTTAAAAGTGCTACCAAACACACTCATCATCCCAATCCGAAAGATAGACGACGCATCGCTATGCGCTACTACGCCGCCCACAAACGGTATGGGTGTGCGATGTCCACGGGACAGCCGTATTGCTACAACAAACCCGCTTACCACCAGCACTAAGATGTTAATTGTATACCTCCATCGACCAGAACCACAAGAATGCGTCGAATGAGGCGCAGCACACCCGCAGATCCATCACAAGACGCAATACCGCAAGTAGCAGTAAGCATCAATGCAACTATCATACGGGTGGCGCCCCCTCACAACACACCCACATGATCCCTATCGACTTTGGTAACAAAGTTGGTATTGTTGTTATATAAAAAATATCACCAACGTATCATAGTAGCACGCTACTAAGACGCCAATGAACAAAACTCCACGTATCATAGCGCTACCACTTAAAAGTGCTACCAAACACACTCATCATCCCAATCCGAAATATAGACGACGCATCGCTATGCGCTACTACGCCGCCCACAAACGGTATGGGTGTGCGATGTCCACGGGAAAGCCGTATTGCTACAACAAACTCGCTTACCACCGGCACTATGATGATATGTCTAGGACACATCGGTTAGCGAGTCCAAGTTTACCTCGGACCAATTGCTCGTGAAGCAGCACACACGCCACCATAATATTCCTTTTCAAGTCCCTAATAAGGACTAGTCATTTTGCTACAGTACTAGGTGCAGTCAGTCACCCGACCACCCCATACAATGCTTATGCATCAAGGAGACCTCCTATAATATTGCTTTTGTATCATAGACCTTACTTTCATAAGTCATGTATATATAGGATTCGAACCCACGACCCTACTATTGTAATGCATATTAATCATAGAGACCTTCTATAGTATTGCTTTTGAATCATTGACCTTACTTCCATAAGTCATTCATATATAGGATTCGAACCCACGACCCTACTATTGTAATGCATATTAATCATAGAGACCTTCTTTAGTATTGCTTTTGTATCATTGAGTTTAATATCATAAGTCCCTAATATAGGACTAGTCATTGTGCTACAGTACTTCAGGCAGTCGGGCTCCCGACCACCCCATATATATGTACAACTGCAGGTATGTACCTCCGACAGCTTCCTCCATACAAGACGTCTATACGTGAACACCTTCCATAACTTAGGAAAATTTTCTTTTATACACGAACACCTCCCAAGACTTAAACAATTTTTAACAAATTTTCTAATTATCTTATAAACGTTATTTAACTTAATTTTATAATATTTTTTGACTTGTATTTCTATTATTTATCTTATTTTAAATATTTTTTCAAGTTTTTAAATAAATTTATTTATTACGAAAAACAATAATTTTGCCTTTAATTTACTATGTTATTGGGATAATGTCTGAAATATATTAACTTTATGTTTATTAATTTAACTTAATTGCTTAATATATATCTTTTAAGACTATTTTTGACGCCCCTTTATATTGAATTTAATTATTAATAATAATATTGGGCCGTCACAAAAGTATTCTCTGTATATCTCTTATCTCTTCAGTTGGTTGAAAGGTATCACGGCCTTATCTGGCTTCGTAAATGTCAAGCCCCTCATCAAGTCTTTGAATTTCGGAAATACAAATAACTCGCATGGTGCGTGCTCTGGACTATGTGCGGGATGGGTCACGAGCCCCAGCTGTTCAGAAGTCAAAAATGACTGTCTTGACCGCGGTGTGCACCGACGCATTATCATGATGCCAAGACAGTGGGCAAATGAACGGTGGAGTAGTATTCAGAATTCACTTTTGCTCATCAAATGGTATCACGTAGACGAGTGTCGTCTAAGAGAAAATAAAACGCTTATTTTTTTTGAAAACGTTTCAGAAGAACGCTACAGAAAAATGCTTTTGCTGTCTTTTCGAAATGTAAAAATGTATCGTATGTATTATGTATGTCATCTTCTGTCACAATGTCATATTCTGTGTAGAATTTTTGAGAAATTAAGGGGCAACAAAGTTTTCTATAACCGATTTTCTTCAATTAGTCATCCTTCACGAATTTAATTATGGAGAGAAACCCAGCTAAGATCAAACCTTACGCCTAACGTCTTACGATGCTCAAATGAGGTTTTTCCCTCCCACTTCGAAGAGGAGCTTTGCTTTCAATGTTGCGGAGAGAGTAAACTTTAAAAATCATAAAAATCATCGACCTAAATTTTTTTTACATTAATACCATTTTTTCTACAGATGACTAATTTCAACTTGTGATAAAAAATAATTGTCACGCGACTTCCCACCAAAAAGTATTTCAATCAATATAATAATATGAGTTTTAATGTTTTAAAAATATAGCATTCGAAATTCAAACTTTTACGAGCTGCCAGCGCAGAACTTGTTTTCCCTATGTAGAAACTACGAAATTTTCAACTTTTATTTCACCTACAACGATGTAATCAAATAAAGATGGTTTTCATGTATCTAAAATATATTTAATCAGTCAGTGTTATGTGTATATTTAATTAATCATCATTAACATTGCCTTTCTAAGTATACAGTAAGATATAGGATTATCAAAGAATGTACACACCATTGGCATGGATATCTTGGAAGATTAAATCGTACTCACTAGTCAGTAAAATTTTGTTAAATTATGGCAGTAAATGAATGGTGGCTCCACTCGGAGGCCAGAGGCTCACTTCTATGGGGGACGTCAATCAGTATTAACTTAATATTGAGTCAACATTGTAAAAATTACAAAAACAAATTTATAAACACACAATTTTCCTTCGAGATAAAAATATTTTAAATAAAGACCCGACAAATTTGCTTTGTATTCTTGGTTAAATCCGTGACAGACTTTCATGCCAAATTAGTAATGAAAGAGCCGTGAATAAATGTGATATAAACTGACAGAGTACATTTATTTTGTTAGAACTCATAAAGTGAAAAGAGATTCTGTCACGGACTACACGTACGTAAAATTAAATGAGCGTTATCTTGAAATAAAGTTGACAAGGAATATACTTTTTTCGAGTGTTTATTAAAATATCGTCCTTTTAATGGAGCTCAGAAAAATAAAACAAAAAAGAATATATACCAAGTACATATATTATTATACTCGACTATTATATTAAGCTATTTATTTACTCAAAAACGGCTTAACCGACTTAAGTAATTTTTTTAAATATAAAAAATAGTTAAAATTTTAAGGAAAAAATCATCCCTAAAAGTGGTAGAACTTAGTTATCCTGAACATATGACAATACCTAAAAGTAAAATAATGAAAAAAAAAAACACGTAATAGCTTCTGAAGTGAAGTTTGAAACTGAAGTTTAAGGAATTTATGGATGATAATAACCCATGGGAAGGGTGATCGCTACAAAGCTATTTCTAATTTGTCTTGTGTTGTTAATTGTAAACATGATTGTAAGCTATTATTGGAAAAAAAATAGTCCCGCTGGGTTTCTTGTTGGTTCTTCCCAGGACAGAGGTTTTTTTGCGAACCAGTGGTAAATGAAAAAAGTGACTGTCAATAAGTATTGTTATAATCTACATTGAATAAAAAAGCTTCTGTTTCTGTTAAAAAAGTCAAGGCTAAACTCGTAATTCTTCAACCCACTAAGACTCAACATCAAAATCATCAAAATTAATCATCATAAATTCCGTATAATTCCGTTGTATTCAAAATTATGTGGCTGAGGTGAAAATTATTATTCGTAATTTTTGAAGTCCGCAACAAATCCAGTTGGCAATCGGTGACTTTAAAATATTGTGACAATTCATAATTTTCGATGACATTATTTATATTTTTAGACATATTTTTTCTGGATTCAGGTAGTACCTTCATTAATAATTTTAGTGAAATATTTTCCGTGTGCATATTATTTAAAATCAAGAATTCAGAAAATACTAAATAACATTTTTTTATAGAAGAGACTTGTATAATATTCGGAAAACAGGTGCTATTTTAAGAAAACTATAATTATCAACGGAAATTCATTTAATATATTTTTAAATAATATTATTACTTTTGACACTCCACTATTTAAAATCAAATATTTTCTCTAAATACAAGTCAGTAAATATTTATGAATAATATTGGAATAAAAATAGTTCGCTTCCATAGAGAAATTCACACAAACATAAGGCAAAGGAAAGTTGAGATATAGGTAAAGACAGACAACAAAGGAAGCTTCGTAGTTCAAAATGTAATAAAATAGAAAATTGCATCAAGAACTCGTGACTCTTGAATTTAAATTTATACGTAATACATAGACGTTCCTCGAAACAAATTAAGGTGTGAGAATTTTTTTGCTTATTTACAATACAATGATTTGTAATGTTTAAAATACACTAGCTTGCCAGGCAGATGTTGTTCTACCCTTTTCGACGACCATTTGTCATTTCCTATTAAAAATACTTAAATTCGCAAAAAAAAAGTTTTGGGTCACTCATAGGCAAAAAAATTATCCTATCTCTCAAGTTGGACCAAAATGCGCACGGTGTGCAAATTTGATTAAAATCGGTTAAGTAGTTTAGGAGTACATCGCGGACACGTAATTTAAAAAAAAAAAAAAAAATATATATATATATATATTAAGATTATAACTCTCATACAAATTAAATTATCTTTGTAATTTTTCAAAGTTGCTATTTTTAAGTGGTTTTAAGTGATTTGAGTTTGTATATTTAATTTTTATATGATTTTACCCCACCCGCAAGAAACGAAGCTTCTTACGCTCTGTATATCAAGGCCAATAATCAATCCGAATTATTTAATTTCGATATATTCGATGTATTATATGAATTATATTATATCAATACATTCATATGAAATCGACACATTTGTTTAGTTGTTACCCTGAAATTGATTTAGTAAATTTATATCTTTATTTTTTTTTTTTAAATTATCTATTTAGCTTTTGCCCTACGTTCGTGTGGAGAAGTGGTAAATATACCATATTTATTATAAAATATTAAAAATTATTTATTTATACCAACTTGTTTGTAACAAAATCTTGTATAGTGGCGGTGTAAGAATATCTATTACCCCATATCGTCCCGTAGGTGTCATTAGAGGCGAGAGTGGGAAACTGAAACAGGCGATTGGCAGCAGCTTCCTGAAAACAACTCAATATAAAAAGTGCGGTTGCCAATCTGCCATCCAAGCGTGGCCATTATGGCAAAATCCGCTCTATGAGGCAATCTATGGGCGCAACCTTTGTTAATTAGTGTACTTTTATAGGCTGTATAATGGAATTAATTATAATAATAAAACAAAGAACATTTCAGGAGCATTTTCCTATAATAATAATATGTAATTAATTTTGCAGAGTTCAAAACTTCATATTAAAAGATCTCGACTAGGTGCTCATGTAGTTCACACTCCAAGGAGAACGTGTTCCGTAGATAAAACTTTAAGCTCTCCGGAATTCGAACATTCCAAGTTACCAAAAGTTCACAAAAAGTACGAACAGGTGCGAAGAGAAGTGTACTGCATATCACCAAGAAGTGACTTTTTCGCTTCAGAAAGTAATATAGTAAGTTACTTCTGATATTAAAACAGAATTAGAACATTTAATTTATATCTTTCGACTTCATCAAAATAGCCTTTCACAGTTTTCATACTGAACATAAGTTTTTCGAAATATATTATTTTCATACATGGTAGAGCCATGTTGCAGCTATGGCTGTAGTGAAAGGATCGGCGCGGCCGGGAAGGACCACGCTCTCACAGAATATTAGCGTAAAATAGCAGTTCAATGTTGCAGTGTTTCATATGGTTAGTGTCCTTTATCGAGAAACGAGGCGTTCCATCTTAGTCCTCAACGCTGGCAACGCATCTGCATTTTAATTCTCAATCAACGACTGTGTGCTCGATTGTCACCCTTATTCTAATAAAAAAAATATTGTCAAACAAAACTGCCTGTGCGGCCTGTACAACAATAATTAGTTGCATAATTTCATCTGAAAGCTTTTTACCAATAAAATATATATTAATCCGATCTTAAATGGAAGAGACTGATATTTGAGCTTCTTCCTAATACGGTGGATTTGCTTTTTTTAATTTAATTTGAAAAAATTGTTTGATTGCTAAATAAAAATTTTGGGACACTATCATTATAGCAAAAAATATCAGCCTAGCAAAGATCTACTGCTCAACATGGCTTCTCCTAAAGTGCATTACTTTGTCCGTTATATCCGGTTTCACGCATTGCGTTAATGCTAATTACCTTGCACGGGTTGTTGCTCCATATAGCCTAGACGCGATTCAAATTTGTGTTGGCCTACGTTTGCTTCAAGTCTTCATGTAAAATAATTAGTCTATAAGATTTTATATTTTATTATAAACATATTTATAAACCGTTTTGAAATTTTTTAGTATTACTTTTTATTTTATTTCCACTGCTCAGTATGTATTGCAATTATGTTATAGAAATAATATAACTACGTGTTAATAATTCACAGTGTAATCGAAGTGATTCTAAAATCGACGAAAACTTTCGCCTAGAAAAACAGTCAGCACAAGGAGACGATAAATCTCCGACAGCTTCACATTCTGAATCCATGCAGAATTTACCTTATAGTAGGTGTGTTAAAACTTTACTCCATCCAAGGAATCTTGAAATTGAAACACAAAAAATACACGAAAGTCAAAAACAGGATAAAACAGCAAAATGCTGTATGTATTCAAGAATAGCTCAGGTAAAATACGTATAAATATAATAATGTTTAACATGGATACGTATATTTATATATATAAAAAGTAATGTATATTATTTTTTACAGAAATCTAGAACATGTAAGTCATCAATCAAAAAAATATATACAGTTTTTTTTGCTTAGTAGACTCTGTATTGTATATTATATGTTTGTATATAAAATAGATATATTCGGTTATTAGCTCCATGCAAATGAATACAATAAAACATTTGAGATTTTACGTCTAAACGTGTTAATTGTCTCAATAAAATTTGTGGTCGTAAAAATGTAATCAGTAAAACTTGTTTTAAAGTTGTATTTTATTTGAATTTTTTTTCGTTTCATTACATTTGTTAGATTCATTCCATAACATTTGTACTGTTAGTAAAGACTATTCTATATGCCATCGTTTGAATAATATTACCGACAGTAGCCTGATGGCAGGGTGTGGACCGTGAACTCAAAAAAGGTCGTGTGTTTGAATCCACCATTAGACTACTGGCGTGAACCCCTCGTAATACAAGCAATTTAAGCTTACCACGAGTGGTTAAGGAAAATATTAGTAATGTTTATAGCATTGTTAATATTCTTTTTTTTAAACAAAACAAAAAAAAATCATTAGATATCTTACATTAACGTAAGCTACATTGTCGTGTTATCTCAGTAGTGCGTCATCATTACCAACTAATTCAAAGCCGAACATCTGCTTTTTTTTAATATGGTGAGATAAGCCGAAATTGGCCTGCATGAATGAATTGCAGAAGATATTACTGATGGTGAACGGTGATTTAGCTATAGACGATAAATCGCGCAAATGGTCAATCTTTTTAACCTGCGTTCGTATATACCTATACAAGGTCACAAGATGTGCTTGACAAGGTTATGGATAAACAAACAAAAAGAAGCGTTAGAAAACTCTTTAGATTTAAGAAACAGTCTGGAAGCAATCATCTCATTTCCAGCAGTTAATATCAACCAAATAGTATTTAACTTTTTACACGGTTTTGTTGATATATCTTACATATTTTATGGTACTTTGTTGATATTGTCCCATGAAGGAATTACTGTGGCAGAGAACGCAAATAAAACATGGAAGCATTCCTAGCTCCAAACACAAGTTGAGCTACCAGAAGGCGTTATCATTTTAGCTGTGAAGGAGTTTAAGTAGAATATCCTCAATATCACAATACCAATTAATTATAATTTGACAAGAGATAAGCTCAACGGAATTTTATGATAAACGTTGTAAGCGATTTAAACTATGTATGTCAGTTAAAAACTATCTATATACCTAAAAAAAACTATCGGGAAATATAGTCATCAAAATAAAAGTGCGTCCTGGGAAACTCGGCATTGCAAAATCCCATAAGACAATACTATAGAAATAACTGAAATAATCTAATCCAGCTCTTTAAATACAAGTGTGAATACTAATCTTTTCACATAAGCTATGCAACTTAGTCTGTTTGATAGTTAATGGGGACCCCACTGAAGTTTTGCGTCGATTTAAAAATACACTGATCTTTAGATTTTTAACATTTGGTGTTGTAAACGTAATAATTTTGATGTAGCATTTTGCGTTATTCACTTCGTCATGTTTAAACGATTGCCGTTTAAGATTACAGATTACAAACAGAAAATAGTACTATACCATATACTATACAATATCACCTACAAGGTAAGTTAAGTCAAGGTAAGTTTTATACGTGGTAGAGCCATGCTGTAGTTATATTAGAAGTATAGCTGTAGCACGAATGGGTCGGCTCGACCGTGGAAGGACCACGCTCTCACAGAAGACCAGCGTAAAATAGTTTCGTATGGTGAGTGTAGAGAACCGGATACCCTTTTTACTGGAAAAGAGGCATTCCATCTTAGTCCTCACGGGTGACAACGAATCTGCATTTTGATTCGTAATCGAGGATAGATATAGATGTATATGGGCCACAGCAACCACTTACCATCAGGTGGACTGTGTGCTCGTTTGTCACCCTGTTTTATAAAAAAAGTTATTATTATAAACTGGGAATAGGAATATGTTGAAAATTTTAAATTTTTTAAAAACATCAGTTTGCAAATATGAATTTCAATTATTTGTAGGTTATGCAAATACTTATGCCGAGCGGGATTTAAAACCACGGCCATCCGCGCCGCAAATAAATGCGTAGCCACTAACTCAAAATAATAAAAAACAGCGGTTGCTAACACCTGGCTATAATAGTATCTATGAAAATATAACTCTTATAAGAAAATCAATGGGGAAGGTCCATGTTGAGCAGCGCATTTTGATAGGCCGTATTTAATGAATGATCACACTAATTAAGAAAAGACTATGAGACTACAGTTGGTTGTTAAGTTTTTTCTGTTCCCTTTTTACATTAGGCTCTCCTTTTGCTGTGGATGTCGAAGATTCATTAACACGATTACTGCATGATATTCATAATGAAAACAGGAAAAGTGCAAGAATTATAAGAGATTCCAAAGCTAGATTGCTTAATTTACAAAAGGTATCCATATGTTTGTATTATTTTATTGTATATTTTTACGTATTTTTTAATTATCAAATTAAATAACACTGAACATAATAGGTAATCACATAAAGGACAGCCTTTTTATATATTAGCAGATTTTGGTCAGAGATGAACCATGTTACTCTACATGTTTTTGCTTTATATTTTTCGCAGTCCTACGAGTTTCTCAGTAAGCCTTCCATTGCCAATGAAGAGGATATTAATTACCTACCGTTTAGGACTCCGATTATTTTCTAAGTATTGACACACAATTGCACCTGAGATGTTATTATTATTTAACCCTCATCTATATGTCAAAGACTTGTTTTTTATTTTAAGTTTTTTTTATTTAAATTCTATTAAAGATTACTAATACTAACTATAATATGTACTCCAGTTAGTAACCCCAAGCAGGTTGAAAATGGGTAGTTTACGAAACGGTATTTCGAATTTGCATTGCGCATCCTACACAATTATGCTAATGTCGGTTGAAGAAATGATTGAATTATGGGAGGAGTCAATGTTCAGTGCTGTCAATTCAATGTTTAATGTTGCAAATTCAATTTCCAACAAATGTATTTGATAAACCTTAACTCTATTTTAATTTTACCGTTATAATGAAAGGATATAGGAGTATGTCTAGCGCTGGGCACACGTGAAAAATCACAGTTATGGTAATGTTACGAGCTTAGGGTTCATGACAATAAAAACTGCCGATTGAATTACCAAAATTTACACTTTTATTACTGAATACCAATTAAAACTTAAAAGACACTAATAATTAATCACACTGATTCACTTTATTTCGCTCCGAAGCTTCGCTTGTATCGCCAAATTCAATACTGCCCCGGTCGCGGCTCTCAGCCGCCTTAGATACGCCTTTTCCACTGAAACACCCAGAATGTTCCAGCAAATACCGGTCCCGACCGACTAAGTTCAGAAAGTTCGAGAGTGGACCCTTCTAGAAAGCTTAATTCTTCTGTTCGATACTAGATGGCGCTGTTGACGGAAATTTCAAGATTGACATTTTCTAGGAAGCCCTCCTCGCTCTGTTCCCCGACATTAGATGGCGCTATTGCCAGGTACCAGACATCAACTTAGGCGCGCAACAGTAATATTTACTAGCCTATATCTTAATTATTTTTTAAATTTACGCAAATTCTACACAATAAGTGGAATAAAACAAATTTTACGGACTTTATCGCGTTTAACTTTGCCTTTTAGAATTACCGACATTCCGGGTACTTTCCAGACTATGATGGGCCTTATGAAATTTTATGTAATGTGTTTATTTTTTTAGTCAGTGGTAGGTAGCTTAGCCTACCTAATAACATGTAAAGAACTAGTAAACCACTAAGAACCAGCTACACAACTTTCATTAACTTTTGACACTTTATATTACAAGTGCAAGGGAAATATTATTTAGCTTAATCTGAGTCTAAAACAACAGAGATTGTCTTAAAGATTAAAATATGTGTATTTAAATCTTCTAGAAAACATCTCTAAATGAAGCAGACATAAAAGAGCTTGGCGAGCGAAATGAATTGCTGCTTCGTGAAATGGAACGTTTTGATCGGTTGACGAAGAGCATACAAAAATTAGTTGGTGCTCAAGTAGATCAAGTTAGAAAGTCGAGAGAGAAGTCCCCAGAACACACTGATACTATGTCGAGGGGTCCTTTCGGTAACACAATTTCATGTATATTTTCAAGTCCACTTAGAATTATTTATCAGTAGATTGTGACGAGATTTTGTTGCTGTCTTTTTACTTTTTTGTCTTGTAATAGTCTACTGCTGTATTGACATCTTTATTTTTAAGGATAATTTACCGTTATTTCTATTTCCGTTGGTAGTCGCATTGGCAATTGAAATACCAAACGATTTGCATCTCCCGGTCTGAATATTTTATATTGGCTAAATTCAACATATTTGTCATTTCCTTTATGGTAAAAATTTATGTAAATTACAATGTCTAAGTATGTGAACAATTAAGATAATGTACCTCACTCTGTACTTTAAAAATTAAAAAGAGATTTATTCGTTATAAATTTCAATAAAAATGTTATTTTTATAAGAAATTATTTAAACTATGATATTAAATTATTATATTATTATAATATTATATATATTATTATTATATATGATATTAAACTATTATATTGATATTAATCTTGAAAGTACTTACATTAGGCTTCCAAAGAGGCTTATAATCAAATCAAGGTTACCAACCGTGATTGGTTGGTAGCCTTGATTTGCAGCCTAAGTTTTGAGAGTACTTTTTTAAACGTTACCTTCATAGTAGGATTTTTTCCTATATCGCGGAAACGTTTTACATATATACATAAATTGTAAATAGACAAACGTCCTGATCCGATACAATTAACTTCACTTCATACTAAATCTATCTCATCACTGATCACACACATTTATTCCGTGCGGCACTTGAACTCGCGACGCTGCAACCCTACCTCTAATCTAAAAGTAGCAAATTAAAATTATGTAATGTAGTAATAGAAAAACTGAAGTGCAACTGGTAAAGAACAATTCAATTATACAGATTACAGATTTTACAGATATAATGAACTTATATTTTTATTGCAATGATGATTAACAATATATATCATTTAAATTGACATTTCAATTGAATAATGTAATCCCAAAGACCATTCCCACCCACCCACTTCCGGATATCTGAGTAATCTAAATTTGCACACGAGTATGACTTCACTGGAATGACTAAACTAGATATTCATTAGAATCTTCACAGATCTTGACAAATATGTGTTATCTAGGTTTTTTTTTAAAATCGTCCAATATTATCTTCTCAATATATAACATTCAGTTGCTGTCCTGATTTTGTTGAATTTCTTTGTGTTTGATTAGGTCCCTAGATGGTGAAAAATTATATTTGTCTAGTATCATGAATAAAAAGAACAAACCATATCTGCCCAGTTGAGAGATTCGCTGTTCATTTTGCTTTAAAATATTAACTTAGGTTAATACAACTTTATAGCGGGTCCGCCAAATAACTTTTTTTTATAAATGCTATTAAAAAAAACTACTAAATATTTTTTCAAATTTCTTTATTTATTTGAAATTACAATCCTTCCGGTTAATGATGGAAAATAATTTCATTCAAATGGCTGCCTCGGCTGGCCATGCAGTAGCCTACACGATCGGTCCAATTTTTGAGTACATTATCGATTGTGTGCAGCTGTATTTCACCAATGGCTTCACGAATATTGTCCTTTAAAGCGTAAATTGTCTCTGGCTTGTCGGCGTAACACTTATCTTTGACGGCACCCTACAAATAATAGTCCAACGGTGTTAAATCGCAGCTCCGAGGTGGCCAAACGACATCAGCTCTGCGGCTGATAATGCGATTTTCAAAAACAGGGCGCAAAACATCAAGTGTAGCGTCGGCTGTGTGGCACGTTGCGCCGTCCTGTTGAAACCAAATGTTGCCAATATCCTCCTCTTCAATTTCTGTGAACAAAAATTCGTTCAACATGGCCCGATAACGATCGCCATTGACTGTAACGGCCACACCTTGCTCATTTTCGAAGAAAAATGGCCCAATTATGCCTCTGGACCAAAATCCGCACCAAACAGTGACTCGTTTTGGGTGCACCGGCTTTTCGATGAATGCGTGCGGGTTTTCTGTGCCCCAAATGCGACAATTCTGCTTGTTTACATACCCGCCAAGTTCGAAATGAGCTTCATCTGAAAAGAGGATTTTTTTGGCAAAATCCGCATCTTCTGCAAGTCGATCGCAGGCCCACTTAGCGAAGCGAAAATGCATTGGATGGTCAGTTGGCTTCAACTCCTGGACCAATTGGATTTTGTACGGCGTCATACCAAGGTCTTTACGCAAAATTCGTCTCAATGATGTCTCCGAAATGTCCAATTGATGAGAACGACGGTGAACTGATGTTGATGGCGTTTCACGCACACTTTCGGCCACAGCAGCAATATTCTCGGGTGTACGCACTGTTTTTGGCTTTTCACGTGTTGGTTTATCGATGAGGATGCCAGTTTATTTCACTTTTTTCACAAGGTAACGAACATACGGAGCTGACGGTGCTTCATTTCTTCCAAAATCCGTACGCAATTTTCGCACACATTCTGCAACATTACTATGATTTTCAAAGTAATGTCGCAATATTTCCCAGCGTTGTTCAAGCGTATACACAACCATATTCGTTCAGCGGAAGGATAAAACTAATTATCTGTCAAATTAGACATGAGCTAAGTGTTGCCATTCACAAAATAAGCACTAGTTGAAAAAAAAAAGTGTTAGATGGCGGACCCTTTAGCTGTATTACTTAGGTAATACAGCTATAAAGTTATATTTATAGCTGTATGGTCTGGTTTTCACTACCACATATCATTCCGTGGATGTTGTGGATTCATCTATATATATAAGTATTTCTAGTATTTCTGCCGCAAAATAGCAGTGGCCGCACTGGTTTTTCTGAATCTGAAGAGTATAGACAATCAGTATAATAAAAACCTGTGAAGCATTCCGTCTTAGTCCTCAGAGGTGACATTTTGATTTTAATATCCCGAAATAAAAGGGGATTGGCTTTATTTAAGTTATGTCTAAACTAAAAATTCAATTCAATATGATTCTATTTTCGCAGCGGAATCGAATTTTGAAATGAAAATTAATACTCCTCGAAATTTTGGTGGAGGCAGAAATTTTTGTACTTCAGGAATACCCGGTGGAACGATACCAAGAAGCAAATCTGTACGTGCTAAATACTCGAATCGTAATATGTAATTAAAAGAAAATAGTAAAATATACATTTGACGAGTCAATTTGTGTTTTTTTTAAGGAAATTGACCTCACTCGGAAACTGACTGAAAGCTACGATATGCAAGAGAAATTAGTTGCCGACAACGCCGATTTAGAAGTAAAAAGGTTGGCCAGTATACCCTTTGTGACTTCATACTTTTAAATAATAAGATATAAGAAAAAATTGTATGGGATAGTATCAAAACTGGTTTATATGTTGGAATCGCGGTAACTCAAATTTCAAGGGAAACGCTAAAAATTTCGAGTTAATGAATTTTTGACTTAAAAATAATTTCGAAATACAGAGGATTTAATTTTGCTAAAATTAAGAAAAGTGAAATTACTAAGCATATTTTCGAGTTATAGAGTCATAGTCAAATAAAAATTTGACTTTGAGTTTTAAGGTACATATTTATTTTTACCGTATTGATAACGTCAACTTTTTCACGTAGAGTAAAGGTCGTTAATTTCCGTTTAGTTCTCATGACGTTCGTAGCTAACAGCTAAATAAGTACTGACCGATAGTAAACTTCTTTTTAAGCAATGAGCCCAAATATAAACAAACAAGGTACTTAAATGTTTTACTTAGAAAGTTTAAAAAATGTATTCATTCATTGCACATGTACAAAGTACACCCAATAGACCAGAAGCAACAATAATTTCTTTTGGATGTTAGCAATAATAAATAATAAAAATAGCAATATGAGTTCGCGGAATCGCAAGTAAGAAGTCAAGACGTCAAGTCAGACGGAGTCTTTTTTGTAGAATACGGGTGACAAACGAGCACAGAGTCCACCTAATGGGAAGTGGATATTGCGGCTCATAGACATCTATATTTATCCTCGATTAAGAATCAAAACGAAAATGCGTTGTCACCCCTGAGGACTAGGTGGAATGCCTCGTTTCCAGTAAAAAGGGTTTCCGGATCTCTACACTCACCATACGAAATACAGCAGTATGCTGTTTTACACTGATATTATGTGAATGCGTGGTCCTTCCCCGGTTGAGCCGACGCATTCCTGCTGTAACCATAATATATAGCTCCAGCGTGGCTCCACCATATATAAATCCGCTTTTTCAAATTCGAGTTATAGAGTATATGTACTGTCAATACCTCGCAGGGAAAAAATATTTTGTTCGAGTTGCAAAGGTTTAAATAATTCGACATATTGGGTATTTAATTCGTCGAGATATTGGGAATGGAAATTTATATCGTCTTCATGATGATTACGACTTAACGAGGTTCGAGTTATCGTGTTTTCATTGTATATTTATTTAGGTTTAAAAAATTCTACACTCGTTTTATTATTGTGTCTTATGCACTCCTCTCAATTCTAAAAAGATTTCGGAGAAAGGAAGTATCAACTGCGCTGCCGCAAATCGAGTTGTACTCCACAAACTTTCTCAGAGATACAGGATTTCTTACAATACTTTCCTTCTCGAGGAGTTATAAATAGCTATAGTCCGATTTATTTTCGCTTTTGGGTAGATCTCTTGAATAATTTAACAGATTTTATAGCATGAAAACACTGTATTATAAAGTTTATGAGATTGCTGTGTGCTGTAATAGAAAAAGGAAAGTATTTTTTGACATTTAAAGTTTTTGGCAGCATAAACTTGGTAACCATTTAGAGTAATTACATACATATCGTACGCATAGAAAGAATCTAAAATTCAACATAAATTGAGTGAAATATACTTGTCTCGCTTTTTATAATTTATAAGGTCAAATAAGGTAAAAAGAAACAAATCTGTTGAAAGATGTTGCGTGTAATTCACACGTGTTATGCATATGTTATATTATTATAGTCTTTTCTTCGGTTTTCGTTGAAAGGATAGTCAAATGACAATAACTGAAAGAAAGAAATTCTAGTAGATGAAGATAGTTAATACCTTATAATATACACTTAGAATACTGGGATGCAGTATTAAATATTTGAAACGTCTGGTACATAGTATAGTTAATCCGATTGTATAATATTATCATGCAATTCATTGCAAATTCCCTTTACTATAAGATTACTTGAGTTGCGGAAACCGAATGCTTCAAAAGGATTCATTAATAAACTCTAAAATATTATAGTCACAAATATTAAAAATATGATATTAATATAAAAATGCAGCAAAGAGGGAAGAACTTGTTTATTGAAGAATTTTTTTTGAGGTGATTATTGTAATTGAGTAAGTATGGCATTACCAATATTTTTAGAATTAACTCAGACTATCTATCTAAATTCGCGCGTAATACTTGAAAATGAGAGAGCCAATTTCAGTGAAATTATAGAAATTAATCATTTTGCAATAGGTGATGCAGATCCAAAGTTAGGTTCATGGTTATCGTAAGCTTCGGTTATGTAATACACAAGTAAAGTATATAATAAGCTTATGAAGTCGCGGCTATCTATGAAATGAAAACATGTTTAATATAAAATCATTGCAAATAGAGACAAAACATTTCATAATTTTAGCACCATAAACTTTATAAAGGGGTTTAAAGCCGGACAAAAGCCGCATAGAAAATAACGTAAACAAGATATTGTTTTTCAAGGCTTAGATTAAAGTTTACTTGGAAGTTTTCTTAATCAGATTGATTTCGATTTTGATCATTATAATCTTAAGTGGGGTGTAATTTACTTTTATCTCTCTTCTCGTCTCTTTTATATAGCTCTTATCCACGAACTCGTCTGCGTAGAATTCAAAGAAACAGTGCATATCGGTTCTGTAGAGTGTTAATTATCGTATACAAACAGACGGACAGATAAACAGATAGAAAGACAAAAGTCTTAAAAATGATTATTAATGTCTTAGAAGTATGCCGATAACCCTTGAGCTTAAAAGAAGTCAGTTATTTCGATATAACAGACAGACGTATCAGTTTTATTATTATTATTATTTTTATAATTTATTAGCAGAGACTACATCGTTCTGTTTCATGATCTCTTAATCTAGGGCAGTATAAGATAGACCATTAATAAATCTATTTCTTTCTTTGGGTTTCGTAAGAGCCGATTATAGGAACTTCTCTAAAAACTGATTTACAGTCTGGTGATGGAGAGTAGCGAAAAAGGTGTAAACGCTAAACGTCCGGTACTTATTATAATTTGGGAACCGTCACCGGATGCCGATTACAGTAAATTTTCTACAGAAAAGTACAATCAGACACTTTGTCCTGCATATATATGGACTATGTGTGGCATATGTGTGGACTTTAAAGAAATCCTATGATTTTGTCAATATTTGGGTGATTTCACAGTCTTTTGGGTTTGATTTAGTCTTTTCACGACTTGTACCGCTAAAGAAGCTATACAAAGCCTTTAAATAAATAGATTTTATAAAATATTGCAATTCAGTTGCGATCCCCGCTGGCATCAATGAAATTGTTATTTGCAATTTTAAATGCTGATTTACCTCGTGTTGAGGGAAGGTGTTCGGGGAAGGGAAACATGACGAAATTTGCATGCATGAGAAATAAAAAAAATTGAAGACATGCAAAGTTTACCAACACGCATTGAAGCTATGCTGATTACAATTACTTGTCATAAACCCTCTGAGAAATAGAAGGAGGCCTGTGCGTAGCATTGGGATGTAAACATATTTATTTATTCTTTTAGACAACATGAAAAAAGACTGCTAGCAAAATTTTATTAAAATTCGGTGGGCGGTGGGCGTCCCCGACTCGGCTCTATCTTCCCGACTTAGCAAGTGTCGTTGTGTGCGTGAGTGACTCGTGCGTACGAGTCCGTACTGTTTTACGCGCCAGGCATGCATGGACAACAAGGTCCATAAGTCCTAGTATCCATAAAAATCTAATGACTATGTTAGTACTTTAACACTAATAGGGGCTTGTGCTCTCATTGAACTTTCCTTCGTTTGCTACTCCCACGGCCTTTTTTGCAACGATTAATTTTTGTAATGACGAGTACTTATTACTCATACTTTTTAGTTTGAACCATAAATACGAATACATTTTTGTGGGTTTAAAAGTCATTTGTCATCTATTTGTCAAACATAACTAACGTAATCCAGACGTGCAGTTGAATTTTATTTCAAAATTATGCGTTTTATAAAGAACTAAAAGCAACATGGAACACACACGGTAAGTTTGGTACTCTATTTACTTTCAGATATATTCTGTACAAGGAGTTAATGAATAAGGATCAAAACCTGGAAACTTGTCGTGGACAAATAAAGAGGCTGCAAGGGGAATTAAAATTGTTGAACATCGAAAACTCAAATCTTCTTGAGAAACTGAATAAAAATAATCCAGAGGTATTGCATTCTGTAATATGTGAAAACCAAAGCTGATGAAGTGGGATTTTCGTAATGCAACAAATAATAAAAATATTATTTATTATCATTAACTCTAATATCCAGCAAGCTGTAAAGCGTGCAGTATCCCATTGGAGTTTTTATCTCAGAATGACGTAGATTATTTATTTTACAGTCTAGTTGGTCTTCTTGTCAAGTAATATCGACAATATTAAAATTGCTTGATTTTCAGTAAAGGTACCTAACAAAACTAATTCATTCTTTTCTCTGTCTAGATAGATTATTTGTAATCTGTAAAAATTCTTTTGCAATTTATATTAATACTTTTTAAGATAATAGACTATTAGTTAAAAATGAAAATTGATTATATTGAGATATATGAAATGGATTATAAATTTATAATCATTAGCAATACATTAATTGTACACAAAATACATATAAAAACTAATAGGACTAGAGCTGCTCCTGGGCACATAAGGGTAAGTACAAGTAGAGTTTTTAAATGGAACAAAATACCTATACCCTAAGATCTTATTAAAGATAAACAATTTAATTACGATTTTATTTAGTTTACATCATATACCTAGTTTTTACCATATTTCGATACCAGTTACCGAGGTACGCTTGCTTGGTTTGCGAGCGTTCTTTGAAGAAAATGTAACATTTCCAAGCCGCTAAATAAAATAATAATGAAATAAGCCCACGGCTTTTTGAGTGCGCTCACTATGAATAATCACAAAGTGTGAATGAATTATATTTTAACGACCTTCTACGGACCGAAATTATTCCTGTAATTGTCTCTGCACACGGGCTAATCTCTGTCAGCGTCTCTGGTTATTTAAGGCGACTGGGACTCTGTGACGGACCGCTCCAGGCACAAATGCAGAAGGCGTTGTTCCTCGATACCGCCCGCATCGTCCGTTGGTTTCTTTCCTTTTCCCCCTAACCCTCAGCCGTCTGGTCTCCTCTGACGAGAGCTTCCATCTGCTTGGCTTTTATTTATTTACGTATTGTTTATGCATTTGTTTCACTATATTATTATATGTATATTTATCCTTTTCATTTATATATTTATACAGCTCAACCACATGAGAAAACTATTTAAACCCATATCCCATCATAAAACAAAATTCTAATTAGTTGTTGTTTAAGACATGGCCCCATTTGTTCCTGTTTTTTGCGCTTTCAGCATCCAATCTCTGCCGTTTATTCTTTGAATTTCATCGATCCAGCGTTAATTAAGTCTTTACTCCTTGTTCCGCTTGGGCCCGTCCATTAGGTGACTCGTTTTGTCCAACTTCCGTCTGCAATCCGACGATGTTGCCCCGCCCATCTCCAATCATATTGTTGTGTGTGTCCGTCCTGCGTCAATTATTCTTTTTTGAACGAATTAAATTTTTTTTGTTTTCCTTTTAAAAAGAAAAATATACTCGTGTTCGGAGTTGCTGAAGATGAAAAGAGCTTCTGGGTGCTAGAGCCGCTAAATATATTATGTAAAAATTTGTTGTTTTCTAAAGAAATGGAAAATGAAAATAGATTTTTAAGTAGATTATAATATATAATAAATACTGAAACTCATTTTAAATGTAATTTACTACTGGTTTAGAAAATAAAGCTGTCCTGGTACCAACCAGAACCAACAAGCAATCGCGCAGATATTTTTAACAAACAATTAAATTAACAAATTAAATTAAAAGTGGCTTGGTAGCTGACACCTCATTACCAGCTGTTATTGTTATCCTTGTATTTCTTAATACCATAACAACTCGTTAAACAATCTTCGTTTAATTTTTTTTCGTATTTGGTTATAGAAAGACTTTGTCAATTTACTGGAATTTCGTTGTAAAAGCGTATACATTCCCATATATGAATAACTCTGTGAAGTTAATAGTTCTCTTTCTTCATCTGCATTTAAGACAATGACAAAGGTATTTTAGGTGCTCACTTTTTAAAGACATAATAAATTATTTAAAAAATATTTTTATTCATATTTTTTTAACTTATCCATAGAACAAGTATTGCATAATTCTGCCTTAATAGGCAGCATTAGTAGAATCGATTTTTATCGAATTATGTGAAATACAAATCTATTTTACTCATAACTATTTATTTCGTAAAGAACAATGTTTTCTTTGTAGATTATGGGTGACAAACGAGCACACAGTTCACCCGATGGTAAGTGGATGCTGTGTAGCCGTATACATCTACATTCATCTTCGATTAAGAATTAAAATGCAGATGCATTGCCAGCCTTGAGGAATAAAAAAAGAAATTAAGCAGTTTAGAATGATAGTATCCTTTTGCGAAGTCGTGCAATGCTTTTGAAAAGTTATCAGCTAGGATTAAAGAAAAGCACTGGCCCCATCATTATTATTTATCATTACAGCTTATTTGAAAAAATTTTCAGTAATATTTGATTAAGACGACAATAAACTGTATATAACGTAAGTATTTGTTGAGTCAATTTATTATTTTGTTTAAAAATATTTCAGTGATTAAGGTTTTATAATTAGCTGTTTACATTTGTTAGATTTAAATAAATTTTCTACTAAATATAACCAGTCCCTTTATCTTATTGGCAAAATTTTGCTGCGTATGAATTGCTATACAATTTTAATAGAGACGCCTGTGTGAATATCAAAAATAAAAATTGTCTCTACAGTGAAGGTTTAAATATTATGTAATGCGAATTTATATTGGTAGTTTATTTATGTGTGGAGTTATATTTAGCCCAAACCAGTAGCGTCATATCCTTTGCTCTTTTTTATGAAATAAAACTTTACAGGGCGACCCTTTTCTTTGTATTTAAGAGTTAAAACGCATCTGCATTTTGACTCTTTATCGAGAATAAATGTAGGTATCTATGGGTCATAGCTTACCATCAGGTGGACTATGTGCTCGTTTGTAAACCTTATTCTAATAAATGGCACTGCTGTGATTCTTGCTGGTTCTAAGACGAAGGATTATCCAGAACAGATGGAAAAATAAAAATTAAATAATATAATAAAGAAAATAAACAATTTAAATAATGTATAAGTATATTATACAACCTATTTTTTATTCTGAACTTAATAATAATATATGAAAGGTATTTTATAACTGATAAGGAATATTGCTTATTAGGGCGATGCTACTGCGATGACCCAATGCACTCCATGCCATCAAGAAATTATACCTCAAAATCAGGTAAGAGATTTTTTTAAACTTGGGAAACATTTTTAATGCATACAAATTCTACTGAATATCATTATAATTTTTTTTATTGTTATTTTAAGTGGCGTGATAATAACTTTGACAAACGTGATACCGTGGCTGTAGGTGTTGTAAGAAGTTACTATAGGAAAACTTTAACGGGATAATGACGTAGAAAATATTTTTCTGAGATATTGATTCTATTTGTATTAATTTTGTTTACAGTGTGGAGACATTGCTGATATTAAAAGTGCCCAGGAGCTGGTGGATAAACTGGAAGAATATAAAACTTCCACCTTAGAATTTGTGAGTTTTTTTTTCTGAAAGTGTATGCTGTTGACCCTGCGGCATTTATAGCTTTATTGAAATAGGCAACAATTCTGCAGTTCCTTCAGATTCCTTCTGAGGGGCTCTTGAATCACATCGAGCCACTCCTAGGCAAGGAGCCACACTCCAAAAGCATGGGTCGAGGTGCCTAGGGCCTTTTTTATAGAATATGGTGACAAACAAGCACACAGGCCACCTGGTGGTAGGTGTGTTCTGTGGCCCATAGACATCTACAAATATGCATGATTATGAAACAATATGCCGAAGTGTTGTCGCCCGTGAGGACTAAGATGGAATGCCTCGTTTCCAGTAAAAAGTGTATCCGGTTCTCTACACACTTACAATACAAAATACAACAGCATTGAGAATATTAACTATCTACTACACAGTTAGGAACGTTTTTTTTTTAAATATTAAAGTGACAAACGGGCACACAGTCCATCTGATGGTAAGTGGTTGCTATAGTTCATAGACATATCATCATAGACAATCAAAATACAGATGCGTTGTCACCCGTGAGGACTAAGACATAATGTCTCGTTTCTAGTAAAAAGGGTCTCCGGTTCTCTACACTCACCACACGGAACAAACATCATTGTGCCTATTTTATGCTGGTACTCTCTGAGAATGTGGTCATTCCCCGATCGAGTCGAAATCCAATTCGTGCTACAACTATACTACTAACACAGCTGCAGCATGGCTCTATATGCTCTTCTGGACAATCGATTTACCTAAAATACCAATATTATTCTGCGAGACTATTGTACGCGCAAAAACGGTAGCAGGATTTCGTCCAATCAATCAATACAACTAGATCTTATGGAGTAAAAACGACTGAATCTTACAATGATTATCATCACCAAGTTGGACTTACCTAGTTGGAAAATTCACCGTCTATGAGTGTCGTGTTCCCAACAACACCAGCATAGGCACGACGTGGACGTTACACAGCCTGTGTCTTGTTCATGTTCATTTTAAAACCTTTATGTTGACAAACATATACTGTGGAAGTCACTGATCTTAGTGTTAAGGTAGTCTAGCGATTCTGCCATAATGAGTTTAACGTCTGCAAATCCAATTTAAGTGATGCATTCGTCATTAATGCTGATACCTTATCTTTTCGAAACCAGTAGCTTGAAAACGTTTTCCGACGTAGTGGTGAAGAGTTTCGGAAATATACCGTGACGTTGTCTTACACAATCAAACCATACTAATAATAAATTAGTGAATGTGGGCAAATGTTGGTTCGAACTTGGATCTTTCAGCTCAGGACTCGAGACGTGGCCACGCGGTAACAGTACTACAATTTCAATTCCACTTTCTTATTGTTTTTGTTTATTGATACTTATCATTGTATTGTGAAACTACTTAACATTGTATGTTGAGGTGTGTAAATATTTATTTACGTTTTACAAGGAAAAACAGATAGGCGACTTGGAATACGAAGTCCGTTTCTTGCGAACAGAGATGGATTCTATTACGGGCGAAAAGAATAGTGCTTGTCGAGGCGGTGGCGTCGCTGGACCCAACACGTGCTTTCAACAGCCGGTAAAAGAGTCTTAAATTATTTCTTTCTGGTGTATAACTAATTATTTAGTCAATTAATTACTTAATTAATTAAAAGTAAAAGAATAGTTTATGTAGGTTCCTCTACAGTGCAAATGCCACTTATTTCTAGGAAGGTTAGTTAGGGGGTAATCTGTGGTTTTAAGGCCTACCTACTGCTGCCCCGACGTTGGCAGACATCGTATCACCTTACAAAAGATTTTTCGACTGCTTAGATAACCAAGTTTCCGTACGATGCTTTACTTCATCTCTGCCAACGTGGCAAATGAAAACTATAAATTACAATAAACAATTTCAGAGGTTACGGCGCGAATCAAACTTGGTTTTATCACGTACTATAAAATGTTTCCATTTTCTGTCTGGGTCTTCGGTCTGTGTAGGAAGTCGTTAAGTAGATTTCAGACTACGCTATAGTATAAAGCATATAGTATATATGCTTTATACTATAGCGTAGATGCCATAAGCATATAGCTTATGGCACAACAATATCGCGTACCATACAAAATCAATAATATATAGTGCAGTATAGTGTGAACGTGTCACAATGTATAAAAGTTAAAAGTTACAGTCCATATATGTCCCACTGCTGGGTACAGGCCTCCTAAGGGGTTTTAGGGCAAGGAAGTTTCCGCCGCGATGCCCCAATGCCTGTTGGCGAACTTCACATGTCGTCGAAATATTTTTTTCTTATTCCTTAGACATGCAGGTTACCTCACGATGTTTTCCTTAACAGCCGAGCATTTGATAAATCAGCACTTAAAATTACAATTAACAATTTTATTGGTGCCTGTTATATTTACAGCGACCGTTAACCATCTGAGCTACCGCGGTTCTCAATGTATGGTGCGCGGTATTGTTGTGCTATGAGCTATATACTATATGCTATTATATTATAGCGTAGTCTGAAATTAACTTACATATGATTTGTGTGGAATTAATTGTGTGAATAGTTTTTAATTACTGTGTAGTGGCAGCGTAAGAATATCCACTACCGCATGGTGTCATCCCGTAAGTGTCGTAAGTGGCGACAAAAGGAAATAAATTCCAAGAACGTGGTAGATCAACATTTAAAATTGCAATCAACTATTTCATTGGTGCTGGCGTACTGTGAAATTTACAGCGAGACGATGTTTATTTTACGTTTACGTTTACGGAGATGGACAGCAGCATATGACTAATAACGACTTTAAATTAAAAAAAAAACTGTGGTTGTCAACCCACTTGCCAAGCAAGTTTGAAATCGCAGCGCTAGCAAAATATCCCCCTTACGAGGCAACCTATGTTGAAGGCCTATAGGTTCTACATTGGACTTTCATAGGCTGTAAGGGTAACAGTCACTGCCACGTCATTTTTTTTAAATTGACGTCATGAAATGCATCTTTTCATTTCTTGCTACGTAAATGTTATTACAACGTAACTGACTTTCTAAATGATAAATTTTGTTGTCATGAAGCAAAAACTGACTTTAGTCATTGTGAATATTTATCTATTATGATTATATTTATAGTAAATGTACAACTACAATTTTGTCTCTCATATGCATAGTTTATTTTTTAACTTAGCATTTTTGTATTGAATTTAGAAGTAGCCTTGACATTAATTATTCTACCAAAATTGATAGTATATTCGTAATATATTTAGATAATACAATTAAATTTATTATATATACTTATACTTGCATTCCGTCAAAATGATATTAAAATTATTCTAATTTGCCACTTAATCATACAATTGGCTGAGATTGTAAAGCGTACCTTCTGGTAGAACATAGAGTCTTTTGTAAAGTACCAATCTATTACTGATACACAATATTACACTTTTAATAAAACGTAAGAACCGACATCAAATAACTATTAAATGTATAAATAAAATAATTTTAACTTAAAATTAGTTAAAAGGTCGATACTAAGATATAATACAGCCAAGAATTTAAACTCCGACCACAGAAACTATTATGTGGAAATTAATTATAGAAATTAGTTCTTTAAATTCCATTTTATACGATATTAATTTTAGATACTGAGTCAACGAAGGAATATCAAAAGGTAAAATGAGGCTTAACTTAAAACTATAATGTTGTTTTAACAATGATATTCAGTGGTTAAGATCAGATATAGCATATTTAATAGGAATCATTAAAACATATGGTGTAAAAAGCATTCAAAAGTACGAACAGTAGAAATGAGAACCTCCTTTTTCTTAAAGTCGGCTAAAACTATAAATGTATGCTAAACTGATATTAACAGAGATGTAGTAATCGAAGAAGAGTTCTTTGCTCAGAATTCACTGCATTGCATTGCACTGTAAATAAGACCCAATACAATTACAGCAGACCTTGACTACCCACGACACGTAATTGGACGACGACATCCAATTACTACTAAAAGGCACGTTGTTTTATTCAACAGTATGATAGCAAAATTTAACCGGAGCTAAGACGAAACTCATTGCCAAATATATTAGTATTTAGTATTATAGCAATTACCAGATAGATTATAGATAATAAAGCAAAAGAATGAAATTAAGTGTAATGATGTCAAAACTTGTAGTATAATCAGAGTAATAAGTACGGGGTAACATACAGATAACGTATCTAATATTTACTGCAGATACTAATATTTACTGTCTCCGCTCGCGCCATTGCCACGTTCGCTGGCCGGACAGTTTATTATATACAAAAGGGATTGTTTAAACACAAGTTAAAATAACCCCAGGTTGTCCTCTTTTTCTCGATTGTGTCTTCTGCGTCTTTATAAACTATACAAGTAAATAAAATCGAAGTATCTGATTGTAATGTCAAAATAACAGCTTTTTACTAAATATATATGAAAGTATATACGGTATTTATAACAAGAACACAATTTTAAAAATTTTTGTCTGTTTGTGTGGACTTTCACTGGCAGATAGCTGATGTTATAGGAATTAACTTAGGCTACTTTTGTTTTATTAAAATAATAAGGATCCGGCGCAAAAAAAATTAAAATCCTAAGATACACGTGGGCGAAGTTGCGGGGAACAGCCAGTAACAATTAACAGACAATAAAAAAAAAAGCTACGACTGCCATCCCGTGTTAACTATGGCAATTATCACCCCTTATAAGTCAGCAGGGGTGGCCTACTCGTATGTTCTGTAGTGGACTTTTGATAGTGTGAAAGAGTAACGTTAATGGTGCTTCTTTACTTTGGCAACAAACTTCATATGTTTTACTTACTCATTTGACAGGTAGGCTAGTGTATTTTTTTACTTATTATAAGCCAGTGTTTGACCACTATCCCCCCTGATGGTAAGTGGTGATGGCCTTAGATGGTAAAACGCACTGTTTTAGCTTAACAAAAGCCTATTCACTCTTTCATTGAAGACGCCCGGATTGTATTCGGACGGAAAGATAGATGTCGGCAAATTATTCCACTCATATGCTGTACGCATTAAAAAGTTGAAGCAAACCGTTTGGTTTTAATGGAATATACATATGACCAACAAAGGGGGGAGGGGACAACAAAAAAGACTCGCCAACCGCCTGGTTGTACGATGGTGGAAAAGAGAGAGAGAGAGAGAGGAATTAAAGCGTGCAATTCCCGTGCACACTCACCGAAATGTATCTACTAAACATACGTAAGGTCAACAATGAGAGACGTACGTAAGGTCACCAATGAGCCTCTTAGTACGTCTCTCCACTGGAGAGACATACTAAGAGGCTCATTGGTGACCTTGATTTGGTTGGAACCAACCTGTCAGCCTCAAGCACAGGCGCAGAGTAGCCAGCCGTTCGATATTTTATAGGATACATTTCGGTGAGAGTGCGCAGGAACTGCACGCTTTAATTCCTCTCTCTCTCCTTTCCACCATCGTACGACCAGGCGGTTGGCGAGTCTTTTTTGTTGTCCCCCCTTTGTTGTCCATATTCCATTAGAACCAAACGGTTTGCTTCAAATTTTTAATGCGTACAGCACTCACTTGGACTCAGGTCCAACGCTGCCAAGTGGCGCTTTATATAAGGTAAGAAGCTGCTCGGTGAAGTATCGCCGCACCCTTGCAAGAACACCAAGTTCCCTTGCGGCTGCTTTGGCTCTGCACTCAGTGAACCGCCCATAGTTGAGGTTCGGAGTAGACCCCTAACAACTAAAAGCCGTCAATGTACTCCAAGGATACATTCCGGAAAGTAGGAGCCAGGGTGGGCGAGCTCCTTTTAGCCGTGAAAAGACACGCTTTTGTTTTGGAGGCGTTGAATCTCACGAGTTTGGCATCGCCCCATTCGGAGACTGCCTGTAGTGTGAGATTCACACGCTCAATCATAGCCTCTTTTTCGGACTGGATTTGATCCCGCCTGGCCCGGGCGCTTGGTTGGGATCTCTCCACAACTGTGCTAAAGTCTGCACAGCCATAGATTTTGGAGTATTATGTGGCATACTATTAATAAATATACAAACATTTGGTAGATGGCTTACGTTGGTTCCAGTTATATGCTACTTTAAATATTGAACTAACGTTCTGTTACGCGTTGTTACTTTCTGTCCAATTTGTAGCGTTCAGCTATTCACTGCTACTGCTTATATATTATAAGATCACATAGCACGAAGAACTCAAGCTATCGCAGAGAGCTTCTTTATATTTCGGAACAATAAAGATTGCATTTTTTTAAAGTTTTTTTTTATAGTTCTAAACTCTAAACCAGTCCCTAAACTTTATTCTAACTCACGTTGGAATAAAGTTTAGGGAGTGAATTAGGTTAGAAAACTCCGAAAATATACAAACAAGTTCCATCGTCATTATTTTTAACATGTGTCTTCCATTTGAAATTCGCGTTGAAATAAATTGAGAGTAATTTTTCGGACGATGTTTGTTAGGTATTAAATTCGATGAAAATATATTTGAGTTTTAATCACAAGAGGAATTTAAAGATGATATTTTTACTTTTAAAAATGGTGACGTCATAGAGTACACTAAAGGGTTCGCTATCTTTACCAATTGATATTTTACGTCAGATTTATTTATATATATGGTTGTTTACCTCAACCAAATGAAAAATTTATTTTTCGCGTGTTCGTATATGATTTAATATTATTTATAGCATATATTTATGAGCATACTTTGTGGCATACCTTGGGGGAGGCCTATGTTCAGCAGTGGACTTGTGAGGGGCTGTAATGATGATGATGATGGTAGCATATATTTAGCATATATGTACCTATCTCGATTAAGAATCAAAAACCTGATATGTTGTCACGTCTGAGGACTGAGATGGAATGCCTCGTTTCCAGTAAACATAGTAGAATTAAGCTGATACTTTACGCTGGTATTCTGTTAGAGCATGGTCCTTCCCCAGTTGAAAAGTCCCATTCATGCTATAATATTCGTAAATTAGTTTTGTATCACATAATTTCATTCGATATCCTTGCATTTTCACTATCGTCAGCTCGTTAAAGTCGTGTGCTGGACTGGTAGGTTGGCGATCGTAGTACGAGACGTCTCACACCTTGGACGATGTTGCTCATAATTTACGTCCGGCGTAAAAGAGATTGTTATACATTATGTTGGCAACCACAAGTTTTTTCTAGGATTTTCCATAGTAGCTTCTTACAACACTCCCGGGAAAAATGAAGGGGCGATAGATTAAATTACTCCGCTATAACACGGCTCGATGTAAAATAGAATTTAAGTAAAACTACGGGCACAGTAATAAAATTATACTTGTAGGGCGAACATCAGTTTTAATACCTTTGAGCCGTTTAAGCGTGCTTATTGAATTACCTAGCATGCTGAGCTTGCAACATATTATCTGCTGAATATAGTTTTAAAATGAACGGATTCCCGTATATACGTTTATACCGTATTATATTGTTTGTAATATATTGTTACACTGTCAGTTATTAAACGATGCTTAGTATATTATAATATATGTGGTCCAATTTACAACAGAGTAGTTTACGTTATTGTGTTTACACGTGTTTTTTGTGATTACAGCCTGGCGGACCTCCTGTGCCTCCGATGACAAAAGCTGTAAGTATAACAACCTACACAGAAGATAGAATTGAATCCCGGTCGGATAACGAATTTGGGACAGCGGTGTAATCAGCAAACTTGGCTTGGTCCGTTGACCATAACAAACGCTTTGATCTGGCAGTAATTTTGAACGCACAGCTATGTTCGGACGTCACGCATTCTATATTTTATTTAAACTTCACCTTTAATGGCCTGTACACCACTTTACTTCATTATCATCTTGTAAAAGTCAACTGCTTTATGGACTCCGTTAGGCTCAGCAATTTATACATAAAAATAACTTAGGTACACAATGATATTACCCTGTTGAGCACAGCGAAAATTAAATTCCCAATTAATTATTTAAAAAAGATTTATAGTAATAAAATAATTAAGTCATCATTCATCATTCATCATTACAGCCCTTCACAAGTCCACTGCTGAACATAGGCCTCCCCCAAGTAATGCCACAAAGCACGGTCCTGAGCCACCTGCATCCATCGACTTCCTGCATGTCTTACCAGGTCGTCACTCCATCTAGTGGGGGGTCGCCCTACACTACGCCTACCGGTACGAGGCTGCCACTCGAGAACCTTTCTTCCCCATCGGTTATCGGTTCTTCGAGCTATATGGCCGGCCCATTGCCACTTCAGCTTACTAATCCGTTGGGCTATGTCGATCACTCTGGTTTTACTGCGGATATCCTCATTTCTGAGTCTATCACGCAGAGAAACTCCAAGCATAGCCCTCTCCATAGCTCGCTGAGCGACCTTAAGCGTCCTCATACGGCCAGCAGTGAAGGACCACGTCTCAGATTCGTAAGTCATCACTGGCAACACGCACTGGTTGTACAATCTAGTTTTTAGAGATTGAGGTATACCTGACGAAAAGATATGTCGTAATTTCCCGAATGCTGCCCAGCCGAGTTGAATCCGTCGATTGACCTCTCGGTCGAAGTTGGACTTACCTAGTCGGACTATTTGTCCCAGGTAAACGTACTCGTCAACAACTTCGAGCATAGTGCTCCCAACAACTACCGGCATAGGTGTGACATGGACATTAAACATGATCTTTGTTTTGTCCATGTTCATCTTAAGACCTATCCGTTGGGAGGCACTATTGAGGTCATTGAGCATAATGCTTAAGTCCTCCAGCGATTCTGCCATAATGACTATATCGTCCGCAAATCGAAGGTGAGTGATGTACTCGCCATTGATGTTAATACCGTATCCTTTCCAGTCCAGTAGCTTGAAAACGTCTTCCAACGCAGCGGTGAAGAGTTTCGGGGATATAACATCACCCTGTCTTACACCTCTCTGCAGTTGGATAGGTTTCGAACTCTGGTTCTGAACTCGGATAGCCATCGTAGCCCTACTGTACAAACACTTCAACACTTCGATGTACCGACAGTCAACTTGGCACCGCTGAAGGGACTGTAGCACCGCCCAAATTTCGACGGAATCAAAGGCTTTCTCATAGTCCACATATGCCAGGCAAAGTGGCAGATTGTACTCTTCGGTCTTCTGTACAATCTGCCGCAGGGTATGTATGTGGTCTATGGTACTGAAGCCTTTTCGGAAACCGGCTTGTTCGGGAGGCTGGAAGTCGTCGAGTATGCGTGCGAGACGATTCGTAATGACTCTCGAAAATAGCATATAGACGCGGCTCAGAAGGGAAATAGGTCTGTAGTTCTTTAAGAGAGCGTTGTCGCCTTTCTTAAAGAACAAAACCACCGCGCTTCTGCTCCACGCCTCCGGAGTAGTGCCACCATGGAGGACGGAATTGAAGAGCTTCCGAAGGACTTCAAGTACCGGTTTTCCACCCGCTTTCAGAAGCTCCGCTGTAATTCCATCCTCGCCCGGGGCCTTGCCGTTTTTAAGGTGTTGGAGAGCCATTCTAATCTCGCTCAGACTGACGTCCGGGATATCATCGGAATAGTGTCGGATAAGACTTGCTCTTGGATTGTTACTCACACTTGCGTGTGGCTCCAACGATGATGTGTACAGCTGCCCATAGAACCTCTCAATCTCACTCAGAATCTCAGGTGTCCCGGAAACGATGTTGCCATACTCAGTCTTCAGCTTTGACAGTTGGCTCTTTCTGGCAGACAGATCTCTGGCAAAGACTTTGGAGCCCTGGTTCCGCTCGATCGCTTCTTTAATACGAGAAGTATTAAAGTTGCGTAAGTCTCGCCGCATGCATTTGGAGATCTGTCTGTTCAGTTGCCTGTATGCTGTCAAATCTGTTGACGATTGCAGCCTCATCTCCCGTCTAACAGCCATGAGATTAAGAGTGTGATCGGAGAGTTTTTGTGTTCTTCTGCGGCGGGTCTTGCAGAACTTAGCTCCGACCGCATGGACAGTTTCCACGAGCTTGTCGTTCATATCGTCCACTGCATTGCAATCTTCTAGGCACTGGAAGCGGTTACGTAACTCGAGCTGAAAGGTTTCAGGATTCTGGATTAGAGCACGAGGGGGACGGAGCGTTGACTTCATTAGACGAGACCTCTCCAACTTAACGTTTAGGTTCAGTGTGCCTCTAACCATTCGGTGATCGCTGCCAGTTTTCACCCTTGCGATCACTGAGACATCACTGAACAGTTGGCGTCTGGTCGTCATAATGAAGTCAATCTCATTTTTTGTCGAACCGACGGGGCTCGACCAGGTCCACTTCCTGTGGGGCCGCTTCTGGAAGAAAGAGTTCATCATAAAGAGTCCCTCTTTCTCCATAAAGTCGGCCAGCTGCTGGCCCCTTCGGTTCCGTTGCCCTACTCCAAATTTCCCTACCTTCAGCTCACCGCTTTCTCTTGTGCCTAGTTTTGCGTTGAAGTCTCCCATCAACACCGTGTAGTGGGTTTTGGAGGAATGTATGGCTCTGGAAATATCCTCATACATTTCCTCCACCTCCTCATCGGGATGTGCCGAGGTTGGTGCGTAAACCTGAATGACCTTCAGCGAATACCGTTTGGTGATTTTGAGTATCAGGTACGCGACCCTCGTCGACACACTCCCAATCTTTACAACGTTGTTGACGAGAGACTTGTGGACGATAAATCCGACACCTCCTTGGGACAGATGGTCGCCCTCCCGGTGATAGAACAAGTTGCCGGACTCGAGGATTGCCGTGTCCTCCCCCTCTCTTCGGACCTCGGATAATCCAATAATATGCCAGCGCAACTTGTCTACCTCTTCTTCCAGCTCTAGTATCTTCTCGTCAGTCCTCAGGGTGCGTGCGTTATATGTTGCCAGGTCGAGTCGTCTTAGGTGGCAACCGAACCTCCACCGGAGATTCTTAGCACCCCCTGCCCCGCCGTTACCATGGTCGCCACCGTAGCCAGGAATAGCGGGGCCGCCGGGGACTGGGGGCCGTCTGTTTGTGTATTTATTCATTGGGGGGGTAATTGCCATAGTTGCCCCGCTTGGCGAGCGGGTTGGCAACCGCAGTTTTTTTATTACGTCACAGTTGTTATCAGGAAGATGCTGCTGCCCATCTCCTGCCTGTCTCCCTCTGTCGCCTCTTACGACACCCACGGGAAGATATGGGGTAGTGGATATTCTCAACCGCCACTACACGGCAAAATAATTATTCACTTAAATAATTAAGTGAATAATATTAAAATTTACACGCGCTATGTTGGAATTGTGTGCATATTTTTAAATTTATTCTTGCAATATTCATGAATTAATGTTGTATATTTTGTAATTATTACATATTATATATTTTTTAAGTTATATTGTATATTTATAGTTTTTCAGAACAACTATATTTAACTTAATGTTATACTAATATTTACCATTGTTTTTATGGTTCTTTTTTCAATACTACTGTATATATTAAATTTTTTAAACTTCTATAATGGTATATATCCACATGTAATATGCTGTTGCATTGTGTATATTTACTCTGTTAATATTGTAAATATTTTGTTTTTTTATTATTATAATAATTATTTTACTCAATATTATTTAATTTTAGTATTTTAAAATATGTTCATTGTTATATAGATTTTATGCCATACGTAGTTTATCAAGGTATATGGATGTGGAAGAGGCGAGAGAGGTATGTCAGGATCGTGCTAAATGAAAATCTGTAGTCTCTGCTTACCCCTCTGGGTAACAGGTGTGAGTGTTTATCATTATGTAATTTATCAATTGGATACATGCATATTTCAACTACTTTTTAATATTACAGCTAAAACTACATGTTTAATGACTAGGTACATTTATAATATTATTCATTACCTATTTAATTATGATTTCTTGTAAATTGCTTGCATGTCTAATTAAGTGTGTCTCTGGCTTTATATTTTCAAAATTATTTTGTATATATTATAAACTACCCACTGTTTACTTTTATAATATACTAGTGTATAAACTACTAACACATCAACCCACAAAATATTTACAAACAAATAATATATACATGCTCGACTATTCCTATAACATCACACAAAAAAACATGTACATTCAACCCTCAAATCAAATTAACGCTCTCACAAATTACATAATATTTGCTCTTTGCACATATTCATGGATATATTTAATATGCTTAATTATTCCTATTTTCGAATATAAATTAAAATCTTGTTAATACTACCTATTTAAAAACATACTTTTAGTTATTACTGCACTGCATTAAATGACCTATTAAATAATCTTGATAATACTTCCTTTAATGAAGCAATATTATGTAATCCCGAAAAATGTGCTGATTTGCTTACATCTTATCATAGTTGTCTCACTGTTTTGTCACAAAATATTTGTAGCATCAATGCAAATTTTTCAGGACTTTTAACGTTGTTAGAAAGAATTAATACTTGCTGCGACATTATCGTTCTCTCTGAATGCTGGCTATCTTGTAATCCTATAATTCCGATTCTCAATGGATATAATCATTATAAAACTTCAAAAAACTTCAATAAAAATGACGGTGTTATTGTGTACATCAAGTTTTGTTTAGCTAATATTAAAGTAAAAGAACCTATAACAATTGAATGTAACTGTTTGAACCTATAACAATTGATTACTATAGGTGTAGATGTGGCTATTGTTGCTATATATAGACCACACGCTTTTGTTGATCTTTCAAAA